GTTGACTTGAATAAAGTTTTCTTAAGATTATTCAACATATTTATCGCATAGTTTAAGAATCCCTCTTTTAAATACTGCCAGAGTTATCATAATCAATATTAATAAACCTAACTTTCGTATTCGAAAGTATGTACAATCGATCTCTCTGTCTTGGCCATCAATGTAGGATTATGTCTTAGAGGAACTTTAACCAATTCCATTCTTCTGTAAAGCATTATCTCATTTATTTCATTTTTTTGGATTATTGCATGATTTCACTATCTATTTCTTGATTCTTTCACAAATACTATGAAATTGACTTCGTATTAAGTTTGTTCTGATGTCGTTCAGAATAACAATGAAAGCTCCACGATTAAACCATCCAGCTCAGAGAACACAACTCCACCAAAATCACCCACTTGAGCTACAAATCTTCTCCACCATCGCATTTACAATGCAATGCTTGGTTGTCTCACACATATCTGTTATGTACATATAATGTAAACACATAAGTAATCTGAGATTATCACTACGCTTTATTTAACAACCAACTCCATATGAAACTACGATGACAACTGATGATCGCATAGCAGTTTACAAACGGTTGTTTCGTTAAGGAAATAGATCTAGGTAGTATTTTATGCTACTTATTCCATGTTAGCAGTATTGTGGTGTGAGCTACTGATATCGATATAAGTAGTATATATGGTGAGTAAGGAATAGAATATCTGACAGCAGAAGATTGAGAAGATCAAGAAGAGAAGAACAGAAATAAAAAGCAATTTGTGTGGAAATCCAGGAACAATGAAGTCTGAGGCAATTGAAGAACATTTTGCAAATAGTGTATCATAGCATGGTTTTTGTATTTTACCAAGTAACGTTGTAATTTGCGCTAAATACATAGTTGGTTGTCCTCACCCGTGTTCTCATTCACAACATTTGGTGTCGCTGCCTCCAGGGATGAAGATTCCATGGCCGAAGGAATTTGAGGACGGGGATGTGCTGAGCTTCCTGAAGGAGTTCGAAGCTGTGGCGGAGCTGGTGGGGGTGAAGGAGCCGAAGGCGAAGACGGTGGTGCTGGGGACGCTGCTGAGAGGCAGAGCGAAAGCTGTATATGACAGCCTGGACGGTGCGGGCGGTAAGACGACATGGGAGGCAGTCACGGAGCGGTTGACCGTGGAGTTCGATAGCCCAGTGGACAGAGAGGAAGCACTGCAGAAGTTCCGAGTGGCGAAGTTGCCGATCGATGGTGATCCGCTGGTGCTGGCCGTGGAGCTTACCAAGTTGCTGCGTCGCGCGCTGCCAAATCTGGATGAGGAGTCGGAGGCACAGTTGTTGGCGTCTCAGTTTATCGAGAGCGTGCCTGTTGCCGTTTCCCAGCAGCTGAGACTGGTACACGCCGCGCAACCTATGGATATCAGTGAGCTTGCAAAGGTGACGCGACAGTTGATGACACAAACAGTAGCTCCGGTCGCGTGCGGAAGTCAGGAGATAAGCAGCATTGAGAAGAAGATTGAAGAACTGCAGCACGAGATTGCGGCATTACGAGTGATTCGAAAAAGGAATGATAAGTGTTTCGCATGTGGAGGGACAGGACACTGGAAGATAAACTGTCCAACACGACGAAAACGGAGATATTTTAGACGTTACGTGTTTCCTTCTTACTCTAGGGATCTGGGGGTTGTTGCATTAGTAGATAGAGGGGCAGTCTATGCAAGAGTGAACGTAAATGAACTAGATTTAGTGTGCCTAATCGATACAGGGGCAGCAGTTTCGTTAATAGGTAAAGAGCAATGTAAAAGTTTTAAGCCGTGTAAAGTCGCAGTTCACACTATAGGAGGGCATATGTTAGAGGTATTGGGCGTGTCTAACAGTATCGTAAAAGTGGATGGTTCGGAGATAAGTTTTCCGTTCGTGGTAACCGCAAACCTGTCGAGACCAATATTAGGAGCAGATTTCCTAAGAGAAGTAAAAGCCATAGTTGACCTAAGAAGCGGTAAGGTGGTCACGAAGTACGGTTCATTCTCAATACATGAAAGTAGTGAGGTGGCTGAGGTTAGAGTGGCAACAGCCGTTGTGACGAAGAAACCAAACATAACCGAGTTGTGCAAAAAGTATGCGAAACTGTTTACTGGAGAAGGAGAACCGTACGGATTTTGCGACAAAGTAAAGCACGAAATCCCGATAAAGAACAATGGAGGAAGTATATTCACAACACGTCGTGTCCCTGTGCACTTAGAGGCTGAAGTAAATCGACAGGTCCAAGAGATGGTGAAAGAAGGAATAATTGAGGAGGCGGACAGCCCGTATAGCTCACCGGTACTCTTGGTAAAGAAACCGAATGGGAAATATAGATTTTGTGTTGATTTTAGAGAACTGAATAATATAACAGAACTAAAGCCGTGTGCAATGCCAACAGTAGTGGAAACATTAGATCGGCTGCAGAATGCCACGGTGTTTACAGTGTTGGATTTGCGGTCAGGTTATTGGCAGCTGCCTATAAAAGAGAGCGATCGAAGCAAGACAGCATTTACCATACGTGATAAACAATATCAATTTAGACGAATGCCGTTCGGATTGGCGGGCGCACCTTTTACGTTCAGAAGATTAATGTCGCTACTGCTCAGGGATCTGGATAACGTCGAAGTGTATGGCGACGATGTAGTCGTATACAGCCAGACAGAAACAGATCATGTCAAGCATGTGGAAGCGGTCCTAAAGCGAATTGAAGAATTCGGACTTCGAATTAATAAGGACAAGTCACAGATGGCGAAAAGTAGCATCACGTTGTTGGGGCATAAAGTGGGAAATGGAGAAATAAAACCGCTGCCGGAGAAAATTCTGACTATAAAGAACGTTGCAGTACCGAATTCGAAAAGGAAATTGAGACAGTTCCTGGGAAGGGCGGCGTTCTACAGTCGGTTCATCAAGAATTTCAACGAAATAGCAGCACCCCTTTATAAGTTGTTGAGTAACACTAAATTTTCGTGGACTGAAACCGCCCAACAAACGTTTAATCAAATCAAAAACATGCTGGACGACCGCCAGATGACGCTCAGACTGCCCGAACTGGAGAAACCGTTTACAGTGACAACAGACGCAAGTGACCATGGTATAGGTGCCGTTTTAAGTCAGTCTGATAGAGTAGTGGAATACGCAAGTCGCGTTCTCACGCCTGCCGAACAGAAGTATTCAACGATCGAAAAGGAGTGTTTAGCGATTGTGTGGGCAGTAGACAAGTGGAGACCATATCTGTTAGGTAAACGATTTCACATCGAGACTGACCATAAACCTCTGCAGTGGCTACAAACAGCACGAGACCCACGTGGGAAGTTGGCGCGATGGATGATACGTCTGCAGGAGTATGACTTCAGTATCGGGCATGTTCCAGGGAAGGAAAATGTGATGGCGGACTATCTGTCAAGAACAGACATGGAAGCCGAGCTTCCATTGACAGCATACGCAGTGAACAGTATAGAGGGAGACCCACTAGAACTCGTCCGGCAGCAGAAATCTGATCCTAAACTGCGAGAGGTAATCAGAGTGATAAGAGAGGGGGCAGATTTTGACAAACGAGCAATGGACAAGGAGGCAATAATGTTGCTTCGGCAAAAGGAAAGACTGAAAGTGAACACATATGGAGCTCTGGTCTGGCAGGATGATGACAAAAATTGGGTGGCTGTGATCCCGAAAGACTGGCGGCGTAAGATGATACACGAATGCCATCAGGTAGCGCACACTGGTATCGCAAGAACGACAGATTTACTACGGCAAAGTGCATACTGGCCAGGCATGAGAGACGATGTGGCCCAATATGTGTTGACGTGCCAGCAGTGCCAATTAATGAAAAGCGATAGATACATGCAACCGCCATTGCAGTCGGTCCCAGTAACCGCAGTTGGTGATCTATGGTCGGTAGATGTGATGGGACCATTTCCACAGACGGATAGCGGCAACCGATACTTACTAGTTATGACGGAACATGCTACACGATGGGTCGACGCTGTACCGATTGCCGACCAGCGGGCGAAAACAGTGACCGAAGTAATAATCCGGCACATTGTAGCAGGTCATGGAGTACCGAAGATGATACTAACCGACCAGGGTCCCTGTTTTGAAAGTGACGAGTTTAAGGCCCGTTTGAAGCAGTTCGGTATCAAGAGGATACGAACTACACCGTATCACCCTCAGACGAATGGGCTTACGGAAAGAAACAACCGGACATTAAAGGAATGGTTAGCATCTAAAGGAGGGAATTGGGAGAAAGAGTTACCACTAATTTTGCTGGCGCATCGTGCCTCCATCCAAGGAACAACTAAGAAATCACCTTTCCTACTTATGTATGGTAGACAGCCACGACTTCCGATGCATAATATGACGTGGCCACAGCAGCAGAAGTGGACGGCAACAAGATTAAGGAAAGAGAGGACGGAGGCAATAAAGAACGTGAAAAAGAAACAAATATCAGACACCAAGAAGGTGGAACAGCAGAGAAGAGCATGGAAGCCTTTTAGAGTGGGGGACCTGGTAAAGTGTAGAGAACGGAGAGCGAACACTGAAGGGGGACCAGGGTCAGGAAAGCTGACCCCGAAATGGGAGGGACCGTACATTATCACGGAGAGACGCGGCCCAGTTTACACGATCCGGAGAGAAGACAAGCAGAAGCGTGTAAATGCCAGTCAACTACAGAGATGGTTTCAGGAACATCATGAGCACGAGTCACGAACAGCACCAAAGGAGACAATGGTACGGCGATCAGAAAGATTGCGAGAACAGCTTATTAAAAGGGGGGACGAGTGTGGTGTGAGCTACTGATATCGATATAAGTAGTATATATGGTGAGTAAGGAATAGAATATCTGACAGCAGAAGATTGAGAAGATCAAGAAGAGAAGAACAGAAATAAAAAGCAATTTGTGTGGAAATCCAGGAACAATGAAGTCTGAGGCAATTGAAGAACATTTTGCAAATAGTGTATCATAGCATGGTTTTTGTATTTTACCAAGTAACGTTGTAATTTGCGCTAAATACATAGTTGGTTGTCCTCACCCGTGTTCTCATTCACAACAGTATTAGAAAACTAAGAGACATGCGAATAGTGAATCTGACAGATAACAGAAGTGGGCAACAGAATTATTCATTGTATCAGAATGATTCGAATACAAGAGTTCGCTCTTCGAAGTGAAGAGAAATCCACGAAAACATTCTTAGTATTTAACCTGGAAAAGATATGAATCAACTTTTGTTTGTACAGTTGAAAAGTATAGATCTACAAGGATTAGATTCTACTTACAAAATGGTGCTCATTTCTACTTTATCTAATTTGAATTAAGCAACTAAAACGCAACTTAATTTCATACAATAGTTCTAACTCATTGTTTAATACATGACCCTATGAACGGTTCATGAATTGCACTGTTTAATTTTTGTCTTCATGTAGTGCTGTGGTATATGCTACTTATATCTGTCGACATAAGTAGTATGTAACACCAATCGGAAATGGTAAACCTGGTAGCAGAAGGCTAAGAAGATCGAGTTGAATAGAATAGAAGAGAAAATAGAAAGGAATTATGAACTTGAAGAATCATACAGAATGTGAAGTACAAATGATGGAAATTTTTAAATGAAGTATTCAGTGCATGGTTCTTATATTTTACTAAGAAACTCTGTAATTTCGTGTTGAAATATACTTGGTTGTTCCCCATCTATGTTTTGGTTCATTACAGTACCATTACATGTCAACTAGGAAAGATGATTTATCGTTAGATTATGTTGCCCGTATTTGATAACTTTGTAAAACCAAACTATTGGTTAGAATACATCTGTATATTGTAAATTATTTTTGTTGCAAAAATATATCAGTGTAAAAAGTCTTTTAACTAGTATTCACTGTGATTCGATTTTTCGCGTTTTTGATGGTTGACCGACTTCTTCATCGCTAGAGGTAATTAGTTGAGGACTGGTTTCTCGAACTGAATGAGCTCGTTTTAACAATTTACGGTTAGGTTTTCCTTTATTCTCATCGATTATAATACAATCACTATAATACAATATGTGACAAGAAAAAGATATTGGTTCATTTAGACGTTTAATAGAAATATAAAATAGTTCAATAAAAAAGTGGACTACTTTTTTTCTAAAGGATAAGACTATTATATTTCTAGCAAGTGAATAAATAAAATACTTTTGAGTTGTTCTATCAGGTGTAGACTACCTGGTTGGGATTTGCGAGATGATAGCAATCGATGGTTAGAGATCTTGAATGGCATGGCTCAAAATCGTTAGCAATGACGAAGGTGCATCCACTTTTTGTGTTCTGCCAAATTCTAATCATCTGAATTCTTCATGTCTCTATCTTTTTTCTCTTTCCAAATTTATTTCACTGAATGATACTCCTTCAATAACATCTTCAAACCTTAATCTTTCACATAATGCTTATACTCTTACTACTTCTACCACTATGGGATTTGAATCGACAACTGCATCTCTGTGCAAATGTGGTATGGCAACTCGAACTGATTTACGTACGTACGAAGTTCTACGTTGTGACTGACTGTGTTTTACTTTTGTGTATGGTAGAGTATTATGACAAGTTTTACGATGGGATTGTATGTAACATATAGGCTGGAAAGTGATGACAAAACGATATCATTGAGTTATAGATTTGAATTCTATTTTATTTATTTCAGTTTATGGAGTTAGTGAAAACATTACATCTACTAAGAAACAAAGGTTTCGAGGCCAGTACACGGATTTGTATTTGTTAAATGAATTACATTAAATCATACTCGCTGATATTTTAAATAATGTCAGTTAGTTATGATCTGCTAGAGTGGTCTTGAGTGCTGTTAGAGGTATGAGGGCAGTCATCACTCCCCGGTTGACCACACCGTGGAAGGGTTATTCTGGAGGTACCTGAAAAGGAAATTGGGTTAGAAGTGGTCTTAATGACCTGAAAGCGTGACCGCAGTGCCAAAGGGACAACTGCTTGAGGCCGGTCACACACGACCTTTTTGTGGGTAGTTTTTGTGTTAGCTCCGTACTTGTTAAGACCTTACCGCCGAAGACGGATATCCATGGGATACGGCAAGCTGTGTATTTTTAGGGTAGACCTATTCTAACCCCACCCCTCCTTGTGGGAAGGCAGCATCGCTGTTATGCTGGTTGTCTGAAGGAAATACCATACTGTTGTCACACCTCTATACAGTCAGCAGTACGACTTCGCCTTCGGACCTTGTGTTTGCTGTTTTTAGTCTTACCGCTCTTCAACTGACCTGTCTGGCATGGTAGGACCTTGAGGAACGATTGTTCCAGGTAGTATAGCTCGATTGGTTCATCACGATAGGCAATCCCGACCACCACGTCAAGGTAGCAGCAACCGTCGATCAATGTAGAGAACAGCACAAATGTGTTGCCCTAAGTTTCAACGCCACATTAACACGGCAACATGAAATTAACGAGGTGAGTAGTAAGGGATTCAAAATAGTCATAATGACAATTACAGTGATAAAGATTAAACATTACGAATATATCTCAAGAAGATGGTACAGATAGGTATGTGTGAAAGAATACTGGAAGATAAAGAGTGAACGCATTTTCACCAATGCGAAGTAAATCTGAGTCAATCCACTAAATCTTCTCAGCCACTCAACACATTTTTCGTACAAACTGTTATGACAGAACAAATATTGGAAAAGTTGAAACTCTCGGAGCTATTTTTTGGATTATTATCATTTACATCTCTATTGTATAATTAACAGATAAGTTTATGATTGCATTTCTATGTTCCCCTTATTGTCAGCGTTCATTGGACTTATTGACTGCTGTTACATTTCATAATATTCCTTAGTTATTGCTAATTAATTATGTACTGTTTGCTCCGCTTTCTGTATTGTGGTGTGGGCTACTTATGTCGACATAAGTAGAATATATATCGTGAGTCAGGAATAGAATATCCGGCAACAGAAGATTGAGAAGGGAAGAACAGGAACAGAAAGTAATTGGTATGGTAATGCAGGAACAATGAAGCCTGAGACAATTAGTGAACATTTTGCAAATGAAGTATTAGACTTTTTTTAATTTTACCAAGTAACTTTGTGCAAAATAAATAGCCGGTTGTCCTCACCTGTATTCTCATTCACTACAGTATAATAATGCAGCAATCAATATCAGCCGAACAAGAGCGGAAAAAGCCAAGGCACAAGCCGAATACACAGAGGCAAACAAGCAAGTGAAGAGGAGCATCAGAGCCGACAAACGTAAGTATGTGGAAGATTTAGCAATGACAGCGGAAAAGGCTGCAAGAGAGGGAAACATGAGACAACTGTATGATACAACTAAAAAACTTGCTGGAAATTACCGTAAACCAGAAAGACCAGTGAAAAGCAAGGAAGGCAAGATATTTTCCAATATTGAAGAACAACGAAACAGGTGGGTAGAACACTTAAAAGAACTCTTGAATCGACCAGCTCCACTGAACCCACCCAACATCGAAGCAGCACCCACAGACCTCCCAATCGATGTTGGCCCACCAACAATTGAAGAGATCAGCATGGCCAGTAGACAAATCAAGAGCGGCAAAGCAGCGGGACCAGACAGCATCCCGGCAGAGGCACTGAAAGCAAATGTAACAGCAACTGCCAAGATACTCCACATCCTCTTCAGTAAGATTTGGGATGAAGAACAAGTACCAATAGACTGGAAAAAGGACTTCTGATCAAGATACCAAAGAAGGGCGACCTCAGCAAGTGCGACAACTACAGGGGCATCACTCTTCTCTCAACACCAGGGAAAGTCTTCAACAGAGTATTGTTGAACAGGATGAAGGATTCAGTGAACACCCAAATTCCAGATCAACAAGCTGGATATCGTAAGGATAGATCGTGCACAGATCAAATCGCAACTCTGTGGATCATTGTGGAACAATCAACCGAATGGAACTCATCACTCTACATCAACATCATCGGCTACGAGAAGGTATTTGATAGCGTGGACAGGACAACACTATGGAGGCTTCTTCGACACTACGGCGTACCTGAGAAGGTAGTCAATATCATACGGAACTCCTATGATGGACTAAACTGCCAAATCGTTCACCGAGGACAACTCACCGACTCGTTTCAAGTAAAGACCGGTGTAAGGCAAGGTTGCTTACTCTCACCCTTTCTCTTTCTCCTGGTGATCGACTGGATCATGAAGACGTCAATATCTGGAGGAAAGCACATTATTTTTTATTTATTTAAACACATATATATTGGTAAAAAAGGGCACCAGGTACATATGCGCCACACAAAATAATGAAAGTAGGTAGAAGGAGGAAAGCACGGGATACAATGGACAGGCAGGATGCAGCTTGACGACTTAGACTTCACAGATGATCTGGCTCTTCTATCACGAACGCAACAACAAATGCAGGAGAAAACGACCAGTGTGGCAGCAGCCTCACCAGCAGTAGGTGTCAATATAAACAAAGGGAAAAGCAAGACTCTCCGATACAATACAATATGCACCAATCAAATTACACTTGACGGAGAAGCTTCGGAGGATGTGGAAACCTTTACATATCTGGCCAGCATCATTGATGAACATGGTGGATCAGATGCAGATGTGAGGGCGAGGATCGGCAAAGCAAGAGCAGCATACCTACAACTGAAAAGCATCTGGAGTTCAAAACAATTGTCAACCAACACCAAGGTTAGAATTTTCAATACAAATGTCAAGACAGTTCTACTGTATGGGGCGGAGACGTGGAGGAGTACGAAAGCCATCATCCAGAAGATACAAGTGCTTATTAGTGGCTGTCTACGCAAGATACTTCGGATCCGTTCGCCAGACACTATCAGCAACAAGTTATTGTGGGAGAGAACAAATCAGATTCCAGCGGAGGAAGAAATCAGGAGGAAGTGCTGGAAGTGGATTGGGCACACTTTGAGGAAATCACCCAACAGTGTCACAAGACAAGCCCTAACATGGAATCCCGAAGGTCAAAGGAGAAGAGGAAGACCAAAGAACACATTACGCCGAGAAATAGAGACAGATATGAGAAGAATGAACAAGAACTGGATAGAACTAGAAAAGAAGGCCCAGGACAGAGTGGGTTGGAGAAAGCTGGTCGGCGGCATATGCTCCGTTGGGAGTAACAGGCGTAAGTAAGTAAGTAAGTTCTGTGTGGTCAGGCATTTTCAATATACTTTAATATTTTCGAGTCATAATTGAACTGAGTACAACAAAAAATAATCTGCATCCTATAGTCGTCGTTTGATTAACTAGTGTGTAAAATGGGGCTCGAGGACCAATAAGTATTAAGGCATTGGTTGTTATATATTGATCAATAGGTAAATTCGTGAAATAGGCCACCGATCCTACTGGTAGTATAGTCAGTCAGCTACAACGTAGGACCAGGCACACATATGCATCGGTCCAAGTTGCCATACCTCACTCATTAGCACAACAACATGAACACCGGATTCGTAGAAGTGGTTAATTTAGTGGTGGTAATATATAAAAGAAAGATTGTATATAAGGATATAGTATGGGAAGACAGATATGAAGCAATTTTAATCTCACGGTTTAATGGAAGATAAAGAGTGTATACACCTACGCGATTGTAATCGATTCTGAGATATGTCAACCAGAGTCTCCAACCATTGGTTACGATAGTCACGTGGACTACAACCAAGTAATCTGCATCTACCAACATCGTTCATACCAGAAGTTAGTGACTTCAAGCACTGATGCCAAGTTTTGGTTTCACCGCCCCTAACTCTCTTCCAACCACCCCCCACACTAGTCAACATTGCGTGTCGTGGTAATCGGTGTTCAGGTATACGTAGCACGTGACCCAACCATATCAGTCGATAAAGATTCATCACCTCATCAACTGATTTACCATCATCATCGCCTAATACCCTGTGTCTAACCTCACTATTACCCAACCGGTGATCCCAGCAGAAGCGAGTAATATTTCTAAGGTATATGTGGTCAAATACTAGTAACTTGAGAGTATCTTCTGCTCTTAATGGCCACGTTTCTCAGCCGTAAAGTAGAACAGAGCGAACTGCTGTGCAGTACACTCGTCTCTTAATTGATAGATGGATATCTCGCCTTCTCCATAGGTGACGTAAGTTGACAAAAGCCAAACGAGCTTTTTGAATCTGTGCTGAGATTTCGTCAGATACCAACCCATTAGGGCTGATCAGACTTCCAAGATAAGTGGAGTTGTCGACGCATTCGACTACTTCACTTCCTATCCTTAGTTCAGATGTTGACGCAGGCCAGTCCTGAAGCAACAACTTGCATTTAGAGGGGGCAGATACGAATCACAAACATCCTGGCATTGTTACTCAGTTCTAACAGAAGACTCTGCATTTTGTTAGCGTCTTCACCAAACAGGACTATGTCATCTGCGTATTCTACGTCGCTTAGTGGACCCCGTGGTAGATCAATTACTGAAAATTCAGTCGACGAGAGTGTTATTTCCAGCAATAGGTTTATAATGAAATTAAACAAAAATGGGGATAGTGGACAACCTTGACGGACACCACTTGAGGTTGTAAAATCAGATGACAGTTCACCATAAGCTCTCACTCGACTGGTAGTGTTCGAGTAAAGAGCCTTCACAAGGTTTATGTACTTCTGAGGTACACCCTTCAACGACAGACACTGCCACAGAACCTCTCGGTCTACAGAGCCAAATGCTGCTTTCAAGTCAAGAAAAACTATCATTGTCGGACGCCGATAAGCAAGTCTGTGCTCTAAAACTTGACGAATTGTGAATATGTGGTCGATACAGCCACGACCAGATCTGAAGCCAGCCTGATTTTCTCGTGTTTGCAGTTCACGAGTCTTAGTAAGGCGCCCGATAATTATTGAGGCTAGTATTTTAGATGCTATGTTAATCAGACTAATCCCTCTATGGTTATCGCAGGATGATTTTGGCCCCTTCTTATATATTGGGACAATCAGAGGTTGTGACCAGTCAGATGGGATTACGTCCAACTCCCAGATTTTAGCCAGAATATTAGTCAACCTAGTCGCTGAAATTGAGCCACCATATTTAAAGACCTATGGAGCCAATCCATCAGGACTATCCGGGTGCGCATATCGAAACAGGTGGTTTTCTTAGGGAGCCACACCCCAAGCTTTTAACCTAAAGATCTAACCCACAAGGCAGTGGAGCAATGTGAGGAGATGCAGTCCCATGGTAGCTGGTGACCAAAAATTGATTCATACGCCATTCGTTCCCTCAGGATACTGGACACCATGTGCACCATTGGTTTGAAATCAGGGTTTTCCAATTCCCCTAGGTGGACTCGCCGTGTCCACCAATCCGGTTAATGCGCCAGACATTCGCTTTTCGTCCTCTGAATTTGGTAACCAACACCCGATGTGCGAGAAGGCAGTGAGTAGAACTTTCCTGACAGAGGGTGTGTACGCGTGGCAGTGTGAGATCATTTCGAGAAAGAGGGCAGGCCGTTCTCACTCTCGGCGATACCTGTAATCAAGTGATCGTGAGTTTTGAGTGTAATTCGCTTTAAATTACAGTCTTTTGACAAACAGTATTTTTGATAAGTGCCAGAGCTATAGTTAGGATAAACCAAATAAACTTTGTGTTTGCTTAGATTTACGTGAAACTATATTCTATTCTGAAGTTGCATGAAAAGTATGGGAGTGTAATTTATCACATAACCACTTCTGTTACTTCTACACATGCACAAAATTGACTTGAAATGGCAAAATCTTCTGTTCGGATAAACTGGCCAACATGAGTTAGTGAGTCTTATAACTTATTTCTGGACCTTAGTCAATACAATCTACATTCTGTATTTGAAATGAGCGGCTAATTGTATCTAACCTAAATGATAACTAGTAGATTTAGAGCCACTATTCAACATCAAGATGCAGGCTCAAGAAAATTAATTGATTTACCCTAGCTTCTTACAAGAATATTGAATTCCAGTCCAAACTTTAGGAAATAACTACTGAATACGCACTTGCATGATACTTTGTGAACCAATAGTTGGGAATACTCAGATAGCAAAATATATTATGAACCCAAACAGGGAACTTTTAGAGACAATAATCTCAACAAATTTTTGTCAGTGATACGTGAATAAACCATATTTATTTTTATTTATTTATTTAAACACATAAATATTGGTATAAGGAAGCACCAGATAAATATGCGCCACACAAATCTCATTTGATTTGTGTGAGGGCTGTGATACTGCCCAGGTGCCCAGACTGAAGCAGGTGAAACAGCATTTAAGTATCACCGATCAATGTGGATAAAGTTTGGATATAATTAATTATACTTACTTGTCATTTTTTAGTGAACGAACAGATAATCTGTGTGTAGGGAACTGACGTATATGCCAAGATGAATCGGATGCTTTTATTACATATGGTATGTAAGGGGTTTGACAATCCGTAACACACAGGCTGAGAGAATCACCTTGATCACTTGAAGTCGGTAAAACACGAGAGAAGAGTGCACTTGGTTTCTTTACTAACCGTTTCATAAACTTTCGAAGGAATTTTTCTACTTGAGGATTACAGGTGTCTAGAAGCGTTTTGGAAGTGTAACCTGGAGGGATTTGAACTACTGAAATGATGTAGTCGTCAAGGTCCATTCTCAACAATACCTCCGAAAGATGAACTTTGTATAGTTTGTTGTCAACGAAAATACCCTCAATTTAATTAAAAATTAGCGTAGTTTGAATGGATTAAACAGTTGTGTTTATAAAAAAACACTCGAATCTATTCGAGCAATCAGAAGATTTTGATAAGATTATTTCCTGAATGACTTAAACAGCAGTTATTCACAGACAGCAAAATATCACAACCAATGTGGAGGATTTAACTGTACGGTGATTAAATGAACACTTAGTAAATCAAATACTTTTGTAACGAGTAAGTAAAGCTGTTGATTTCTTTAAACTCGTGTTGTATTGTAAGGTGTAAGTATCAGATTCCTTGTTATTAGTTGACCACAATAGTTCTAGTAGCAAGTAGTTTGAAATTTGCCCGTTTTTTCTTGATCACACCAGAAAAAAGTAAAAGTAAATCCGTAGAACGCACAAAAATCAGTACTTTATCGGTCTGTAATCAGTTTTATTAGATGCAGTGATGACAAAGCTACCAAGAGTTCTATTTGTTTTTAGACTAGTAATACAATACCTGGCTATTAGTAAATTTGCCTGTAGTCGGAGCACATTTCATACTAAGTTGTAGAGGTTCGCGTATAGCCTGAAGGTACTTTGTGTATCAGGGGAGCAAGCAGAGTAGCGTGAATGGAGAGAGCTGGAAAACAGAAGAAAAAAATGAGCCAATGACGCAGCAAGCACACACGATTCATCTGCACTTATTAGGGAGAGAAAAAGACAATAATCAATATTAACATAATCCTCAAACTAGCACAATTTGGAAATCAATTGATTTTTAAATTTAAAACTAGAAGCAGATAGTCTAGTAAGCTATACAGAAATGTGATCAGCATGTTATTCCAGGAGAAAACGAGGAAAAGTGATCTGATGACTTATTAAGTACATAGAATACACTTACACCAAATAATGAAAGCAACTAATAATAGTATACAATACCAGAAGCATCAATGTGTTGCAGTAACGTCAATAGCAAATACTGCGCCATAGATCCGGTCCTCAATATGTTTTTTGACGTGCTACTGTTGTTTCAGACCAGGCATAATGAAATGAAATGGTGACAAGTAACTAATAGTATGTATAAAAAATGACGGCAGATAACCCAACAAAAGCAAGTATTAGTTACAACGTGAAAGTGAAATTTGAAACGATCCAAATGTATGATTACATAGTCGGTAGAGTTATAGTTTTTGGACGAGGCAGTCAGAATGAAAAACTAAATAAAGAACACATATTTAATGAAGTTTAATTGAATCCTCCCCAAATTATCAACCAAGCTGAATGTATTTCCATCTTAGAAGATTTGACACTATGCATTTCTTATCGAGTTTCGCTAGTGTCAGTGATGATTAACAGGCAGTAGTCAGTACTCTCCATATAGAAGGCACGTACGGAAGGCTGTTTGGTTCTTTCATAATTTAGTTCTCTGGTCTTTTCTAATAAATGCAGAACATTTGGGCAAGATATCGTCTGTTCTTCAAGTATTTTAAAGAAGCTGGGTACCCTGGCCATGAAATTAGGATTTTCCTGGCTAGGAAACTTATTGGATGATATTACTATGATGTAATATTATGGAATTTACCCGGTTACATCATTGTCGTCTGACTTTAAAAAATGAATACTCGTGATTGAGAGAAATAGTTTGTCCCAGAGCTATCTAGGCAATTACGTCTCCATGATTCACTTTCTTGACGGTCATAAAGATTTTTTGGAAATTCAAATAATTTTTTTCATCATAAAGTTTTTTTCATCATAAATTAGAGGAATGTTGCACAATGAGTGATATTACAGAGTGATATTAGAACTTTCGGATAGTGATACATACATTGCACTTAGCCATTTCAATATGGACAGTATCTATCACAGAGAACCTTATTAAACCTTATGAACTTTGACAAGCTGCTGAATAATTCGGACTCAGATTCAGCACCTTGAACACTTCTTGTTGTGGCTGTTTAGTTTCAATGGGAACTTTTGTTTCAGTTGTAATGTCAGTCGTTGTTACAGCAACTGAAATCCCTGGAAAAATACTAATAAATTCAGATCAGCAACTGAGACTATCTGGTTATACTCAAAGATCTAATAAATCAACGTGGATGTAGGTAGAAGGTGCACAGGGCAATGAAAATATTCCGACGATGATTTCGTAACAGCACACGTTGATCACTTAAGAGTCGACCTCAAACAACTAAGTACATGTCAAAACAATAGAGCTCAAATATTCATTCACTTCCTTATTTCGTATAGGCACTATATTTCCTATTACCTTATACTGCATGTTGAAAAACTTTGTGTGTTGGAACAGATAACCTTCCACTCAACTGTTACTGTCCCACGATAAAAATAAAGACCTATTCACTGCTAGTGTGATTTCTTCCAACAATAAAACGAGGGTTACCTTCAGGCACAACAATGGTAAGTCCGACCGAAGAAATGCAGCCTATTATTATTAATCCTTATCCTCACTCTTACGTTACCAACAGATTTTTACTTATGTTAAACTATTATTCTATTAGTACTCTGATTAATGCTCGCGTTTATTATCTATCGTACTGTAATTTTGATTAATACTTATAACTTACGAGCCCCATCGGTAATAATAACAAGTCATCTATATTAAATTATTAGATAAGGAGGTTCGTTAATAAGCTTTGGTGGCACTTTCATGCTCCAGCGAAATAAGCTTGCTAAAATATCAAGCCCTAACAAATATGGCCTTTCAGCAACGTAAAGAGACATTGGCTAGCGACGTGAGCTAAGGCTTAATGATTATCTCAACCTAATTCTTCATCTCGTTTCTCCACTTAACGTTTCACTATATTTTAAACTACGGACTATCGAGTAATATCTTTTCTCACGACCATTGCCTGCCTAATTTCTAATTTTCGATTTCCACAGCCAAACTACGAAGACGACACAGTGAGTTCAATCTATAAAGTTTCAGCAATTCTAATCTCATTTCAGATTGTTTATACGATAAAGCCAATTATTTATCTGGACCCTTGGATTTTTACTAAATCAACCATTTGTCAAAGTCAGTGGCATCGCACACACAGAAACTAGTTGGAGTACCGTGTGTTTGTTTTGGTTGTTTTTGGATAATTACTAGTTGTCACTAATGGTCATATATACGTCAAATCTACCGGGTAGTTTAATCCCCAAAATAATCCAGGCGAGTTCAACTATTTTACTGGATTATTTACTGTACTTAACATGTACTTTATACACTTAACATGTATATATTTTCATCTAGACTAGCCGTACATATTTTATATGAATTACTCCCAAAGCGTTTTCAGAATATATTTAATAAATTTATGCCACAACATGCTACTCTGAAAGAGTTTTTTTTACAGACGAAGTGTATTAGATTCGAAAAATTATTTGACATCTCTTAGTTCCAGTTATCCTTGCCATATATTCGTAAATATCACTAGGCTAAATACAGTAACTTCTTATGGGGAGTTTATAACTCGTCATATTCCTAACTGGAGTTCCACGAGTAGTCTGAACTTTAAAATTATTTTTCTGGCCAAGTTTATCATTTTCAAATTGTCATATACCTTCACCAACCTACACGTCAACCTAGCTTATAATTGCATTGTATTATACCATCTGTACCATTTAAATTTAACAACCGTTTGAATCGTCTCTGACATTTTAACTAAACCCATCATAGTCAAAACCGCTATACGTATTTGGGTCTATGAATTGGGATATCATGTTAGTTGCCTAAAAAGATAAACATAGTTTAGATAATCAAGTCACCAAATTTAGGTACTATCATCCTGCATTAGTGTATTAACTGGATTATCATGTAGTTGTTGATCAAACAACCATTTAAAGCCAAAAATCTGGAGCCTACTATTAAAATTAACACTATGTAAATGAATATTTTTGAATTTAAGTAAATAATATAATCAGGAAGCTAGGATTCGTTCACATTACCAACTTCTGACATCACCTAAAACAACAATGTCTATTTCCCACTGCCTGCATAATTCTCAATCAGCACTATAACTAGTTAAACATAATGGTTTCAGGATATCGCCACAAAGCATTGTCCTATTTTGACAATCACGTAATACAATTGATAAAATTGTTGAAAGTATTTACAAAACCGTCCAACAAATTGACTTGTGGTCACCATGTTGTTTTCTCGTTATCTTCATCCTCTAAAAATGAATACAGTATGTTTCTCTGTCGGTGTAAGCTAGATGTAAGTACCACTCCTTAGAACCCTTTTGGAGCCATAGGGTAAGGAACCATATATTATTTTTCTATTAAGTAATATGTGGTCTCTTATTTCCAACCTCCCGCCCAATTATAATCAATGACCCTGTCAACATACTCAGAAAAAACACATATAACCTATCAACAATAAAACACTCAAAACCAAAGCGTTGCAAGTTTCTTATAGTGTGGTATAGATTTTTGTGGAACAGGCTGCCAATACCTGTCCGTACCAGTGGCACTATAACCAAGTTCAAAAGTCCAATAAAACTGTTTTCAGACTCTAAAGGGCTTCATTAAATCTTCCTAGAACTCCTATCCAATCCCGAGGCACATTTTACGGACTGCCTAATATCTAGAGTGATCATGAATATAACGGAATCCTATTGTCATTCATATATATATATATATAACCATATTATAAAACCCGTCGTTTCCCTCATCCTATAATTCATTATTAGCCATGCCCTAATGACCCCAACCCTCACACTCAGATTCCGAGTCTCTCTAATGTGAAGTGTCGAATACATCTTTTTCCACAAAGCCCTATGCCATTTTTCTATTTCTATTTCAAGTAGACCGATAAATCACTAACCCTATGAGTGTTGCTCAACTATGGCCGATTATAGGAAGCTCATAATACTCTAAACTATTGTGAGTTGCTTCTAGTTCATGTTCTAGAAGTTTTAATTTTTTTGAATTAGCATTCAAATGTCTTGTTTTCCTACTTATCCTCT